GTGAAAGAAACTCTGCCCATCGTTTCTCACCGGCGCCCGGGATCACAGGATCACGTGTCTAGCGTGCTGTCCGCTCGGCCGGCCGGCTCCTTGCCCTGTTGAAGAGGGCTCTTTGTTTGTCGATGTGTTTTCGCCCGCTGGCACTGGAGACATGAGAGATTCCATAGTCGAACATCGGCATTTATTCCTGGTCATACGACACGCTCTGTTAGTAGTCTTTGGGAAGCACGTACTTCTGGGTACCTGGTTGATACCTGGTTGATGGGGTTCTGGGAGTTCTTCTACTCCCCCAAGCCCGGCCCGAGGCCAGGCTTGACTTGTGAGAGTTTGGTCCACCAGGCTGTTGCTTGGAGCTGCCCGCAGGCCCACATAACCACCACAGCCCGGTTGGTCCGGCACTCCTTGAAGGAAACAATCTAGTTTCCTCTTGGGTGTGCTAGGGAGTGAAATGCTAAGGATATTTTCCAGCGAAACTGGGCAGGAATGTAGGGCCTATGAGCTCCCATCCGGGAGGTGTCACAGATTATATTACCGCCACCTTCCATGGGAATCTCGATGAACCGGAGAGCTGTGTCAGATGTTCGTAATCGCTGCAGATCAGGGTCTTCCCATTGGGCCTTGCTGATTACACAATAGTCCACCTGGGCCGGGTTTTGCACGACGTGGTTTATGGGGGGTCGAGACAGGGCATCGGCTATGACATTGTTAGTTCCTTTGACATGGCGGATATCCGAGGTAAATTGGGAGATAAGCCCAGGTACCTATTTACTGCTAGGTAACAAGTTCATTAAGGGTGAAAGAAACTTTGCCCATTTGTTTCCGCCTAGTCAGGGCCCCAGAATTACGAGTCCTGGGCGCTGTCCAAAGTGATATTACTGAGTGGACTCTCCACTCAAACTCTTGGAGTTGACTCTCAATGCAATACAATACAAGTGTGTGTAATTACCTAAGTGTAATTACCTAAGTGTAGTTACAGGATGAGAGCTATGTGTGTGTGTGTGTGTGTGTGTGTGTGTAATTACCTAAGTGTAATTACCTAAGTGTAGTTACAGGATGAGAGCTACGCTCGTGGTGTCCCGTCTTCCCAGCACTCTTTGTCATATAACGCTTTGAAACTACTGACGGTCTTGGCCTCCACCACCTTCTCACTTAACTTGTTCCAACCGTCTACCACTCTATTTGCGAAGGTGAATTTTCTTATATTTCTTCGGCATCTGTGTTTAGCTAGTTTAAATCTATGGCCTCTTGTTCTTGAAGTTCCAGGTCTCAGGAAGTCTTCCCTGTCGATTTTATCAATTCCTGTTACTATTTTGTACGTAGTGATCATATCACCTCTTTTTCTTCTGTCTTCTAGTTTTGGCATATTTAATGCTTCTAACCTCTCCTTGTAGCTCTTGCCCTTCAGTTCTGGGAGCCACTTAGTAGCATGTCTTTGCACCTTTTCCAGTTTGTTGATGTGCTTCTTAAGATATGGGCACCACACAACAGCTGCATATTCTAGCTTTGGCCTAACAAAAGTCATGAACAATTTCTTTAGTATATCGCCATCCATGTATTTAAATGCAATTCTGAAGTTAGAAAGCATTGCATAGGCTCCTTGCACAATATTCTTAATGTGGTCCTCAGGTGATAGTTTTCTATCTAGAACCACTCCTAGATCTCTTTCTTTATCAGAATTCTTTAAAGATTTCTCACATAATATATAGGTTGTGTGGGGTCTATGTTCTCCTATTCCACATTCCATAACATGACATTTATTAACATTAAATTCCATTTGCCAAGTGGTGCTCCATATACTTATTTTGTCCAGGTCTTCTTGAAGGGCATGACAATCATCTAAATTTCTTATCCTTCCTATTATCTTAGCATCATCAGCAAACATGTTCATATAATTCTGTATACCAACTGGTAGATCATTTATGTACACAATAAACATCACTGGTGCAAGAACTGAACCCTGTGGTACTCCACTTGTGACATTTCTCCATTCCGATACATTGCCTCTGATTACTGCCCTCATTTTTCTATCAGTCAGAAAATTTTTCATCCATGATAGAAGCTTACCTGTCACCCCTCCAATATTTTCCAGTTTCCAGAACAACCTCTTATGTGGAACTCTGTCGAAAGCCTTTTTTAGGTCCAGATAGATGCAGTCAACCCAGCCATCTCTTTCCTGTAAAATCTCTGTGGCCCGATCATAGAAACTGAGTAAATTCGATACACAGGATCTTCCTGATCGAAAACCATACTGTCTGTCTGATATTATATCATTTCTCTCCAGGTGTTCTACCCATTTAGTTTTGATTAGCTTTTCCAATACTTTCACTATTACACTTGTCAATGATACAGGTCTATAATTGAGGGGGTCTTCCCTGCTGCCACTTTTGTAGATTGGAACTATGTTAGCCTGTTTCCACACGTCTGCTACGATTCCTGTACACAGGGATGCCTGAAAAATCAGGTGAAGTGGAATGCTGAGCTCAGATGCACATTCTCTCAGAACCCATGGTGAAACGCCATCTGGGCCAGCTGCTTTGTTCCTCCCGAGCTCCTTTAGCATATTTTCCACTTCATCTCTAGACACCTCTATCCGCTCTATGTTGTTCTCTGGAATTCTTATTGTGTCTGGTTCTCTGAAGATTTCATTTTGTACAAACACACTTTGGAACTTTTCATTTAATGTTTCACACATTTCCTTTTCATTTTCCGTGAATCTGTTTCCCATTTCCAACCTCTGGATATTATCCTTTACCTGCAATTTGTTGTTTATGAATTTGTAGAATAGGCCCGGTTCTGTTTTACATTTATCTGCTATCCCTTTTTCAAAATTTCTTTCTGCCTCTCTCCTTACTGCTGTATAATTGTTTCTCGCATCTTTGTATCGCTGGTATGTTTGGGGGTTTGGCCTCTTCCTATACTGATTCCATTTTTGTGTCTTTTGGTCTCTTGCCCTCTCACAATTTCTGTCGAACCAATCCTGTTTTCTGGTCCTGCATCTCTGTTTTGGTATAAATTTTTTTGTGCCTTTATCATATATTTCACAAAACTTGCCATACATCTCATTCACTTCCTTGCCTAGCATCAAGTCTGTCCAATTATACTCACTAAAAAAATTTCTAAGGTCACCATAATGTCCTCTCCTGAAGTCTGGTTTTTCAACTGCTTCAACCTCCTTATTTTCTTCCAGCTTATAACGCATTGCATACTTTATTCCCAAAAAGACATGGTCACTTTTACCCAAGGGAGGAAGGTACTGAATGTCAAATATCTCTTCCTCCTTCCTGGTAAATATCAAATCTAGCATGGAGGGAACGTCCCCTTCCCTCATCCTCGTAGCTTGTTTAACATGTTGATACAAGAATGTTTCCAGGATGAGGTCTACAAATTTACAGGTCCAAAAATCTTCTGTTTTAGCTTCATATGCTTCCCAGTCTATGGATTTCAAGTTGAAGTCACCGACTATCAACAGTCGTGATCTATCGTTATCCGCTCTCGCTATAATCTCTCTCATTATTGTTATAAGACCTTCACGTTTACTATCTAGCTCCTCCTTTGACCATGTGCTGCTTGGCGGTGGACTATATGCATTTATCATCATTAGTTTATCATCCTCATAGCAGATCTCTAGTGCTATTATGTCAACTTCTTGTGGATTGGCAGTCATTATTTCCTTCACCTTTAGGTGTTCTTTTACCAGCACAGCAACGCCACCGCCTTTCCTAATTTTTCTGTCCCGTCTCCAAATTGAGTAGCCCCTTGGGAATATGACCTCATTTAAAATTACATCTTCAAGTTTTGTCTCCGTGAGTGCAACAATGTCTGGTGTCTGCAGCTGTATTACATCACTTAACTCCAGTATCTTCGATCTCACTCCATCTATGTTGGTGTATGCAATCTTCAGGAACTTGTTCCCCCTCTCCTTATTCTTCACTCCCCCTCTCTCTATTGATTTTGTTGGTTTGCCTTTATGTACCACTTTACTGGTTTGCCTACCCCTATCACTTTGTAGAAAAAAGAATTTATTTCTTCTTCATTCCTGCTCTCATTTAAATGTGTGTGTGTGTGTGTGTGTGTGTGTGTGTGTGTGTGTGTGTGTGTGTGTGTGTGTGTGTGTGTGTGTGTGTGTGTGTGTGTGTGTGTGTGTGTGTGTGTGTGTGTGTGTGTGTGCGTGTGCGTGTGCGTGTGTGTGTGTGTTGTGAGGTGGGAGTGTGGCAGATGACGTTACACGACCTCCACCCACAACAGCTGACGGCGCGCCAACAGGTGATTCATTCCCTGCTTGTCAATTAGATACTAATCCAACTGTAATTGGTACTCCAGAAAGATAATTTACTGGTTTACAGTGAATTGGTGTTGTAATTGGCGAGCAAATGGCGCCGTGATATAGTGAGATAGCAAGAGACGTAGATTGTTGAATCACCTAAAGTGGTTCATCATCAACGGGGCTTTTTCCCTGATAATTCCCTTCCCTTCGTCATCAATGGATTATTAAATAGATTAACAACAAGATAAGGAATGGAACAGGAACCATGCAGCATATGGATATAAGATATAGAGAAACATTGCAGATATTAAGTGTTGTACTTCACGCAGATTTTGTTCCATTAGGCTAGGCTGGTTGTATACATTTTTTTGTATTTATATATACAAGAGTTCTTACATTCTTGTATTTTGTATCATACAGGTCACTTCCCACCTATATTTACTGTTTGTATCTGCAGAATCGAGCTCTTAGCTCTTGGATCCTGCCTCTCTAACCAATTCATTTTTCCTCTATTATGTCTATTACATATATTTATCTTACACACACACACACATACATACACACATACATACATCCCTAGGAAGGTTATCTTGAGGTTACCTTGAGATGATTTCGAGGCTTAGGGTCCTCACGGCCCGGTCCTCGACCAGGCCTCCACCTCCAGGAAGCAGCCCGTGACAGCTGACTAACACCCAGATGCCTATTTACTGCTAGGTGAACGTGTGCATCAGGGTGAAAGAAACTGCCGATTTGTTTCTGCCTCCGCCGGGGATAGAACCCAGGCCCTTAGGACTACGACCCTCAGAGTGCTGACTACTCAGCCGCGAGGCCCCTGCTTCCTATGATGCTTCAACTATGAATTTTAAATACTTACTAACCCCAACCTAACCTTGAGATATAGACAATTTTGAGTTAGGAAAGAAGTCTTGGAGCTGTGTGTGAATTACAGCTGTATTATACTGTAACCCATGCTCGCTCTTTGCTCAAATTGTATACTGCTGCGTCAACTAAACTTTTCTTAATTATTTACTTGTATAAAGTAAGTTGTCAGAAGATTCTAGCATGGGTTGGGTTGTTAGGTTAAGTTAGGTTAGATTGGTTTAGATTACGCTAGGTTAGTTTGGGTTTCGACAGGTTGTGTTTGGTTAGGCTAAGCAAGGTAGGTTTTCGTAAGAAAATTAGTAGAAGTCATGAGGAGGATTCGAACCCTCACACTTAGTACTGCAAAGCACACGCCTTAGACCACTACACCATGACATGGTAATTGATACATCACGGTAATGTGATTTCATTGTGCAGGTTTTCATGTCTGTTTATCAGTGTTCATAGGTATAAATGTAACTTGCCTAGGCTAAGGCAAGAGAGAGGCTTGCTGAGTTTGATATGGAGTCATTCCCTAGGCTAAGGCAAGAGAGAGGCTTGCTGAATTGACATTCCATCTCAAATCACCAAAGTCACCTATGGCTCCCACTCGACCCTCTTCAAATGCCACGAAATTTTGTAGTAAGATAGCCCTAGACCCCAAATGACACTTTGCAAAATATTAGAGCTCAGTCTGCTTTGGTTCTTAAATAACAAGTCCATATTCAATGGGCTCTTGTCCCGTTAATGCGTAAGTACTGTAAAAATGACTAACTTTTGACCCTTTGTTAAATCACTTCTATTGCATGTAGGAGTGTGAAATTTGACATACCAGGACAACTTTTGGTGTAGAATAACGTAGTGTAATCGAAAAAGCAGTATGGGTAGCCATTTAGCTATCCATCCATGCTAAAACCACAGCCAAATTTTGTCGCAAGAAATTTGGACCCCAATTTGGAGACCACTTACTCATCAGCAAAAGATCTAAATGCCATGATCTTTTTGCAACAATGTATAACAAGCACAATATTATGCAGTGATTCAATAGCATCTCTGTTGTATCCATATGTCCAGAGGTGGCCCACTTGAAAGTGGGCCAAAAAACTTTATGTGCAAAGCTAACCAACTTTCAAGGCAAAATATCTCGATATGCGTCATTCCCAGTTTAGTTTTGAATGACACCATTGGATAGAGCAGATTTTTCTGTACAAGAGTAACTTTTATTTAGGTTGGGATCTGAATTCCTAGTTCAGCCAGAGGACTCTGAAAATGACATACCTTGGTGTGATATAAAAAAAATGAAATTATTATTCTCGATCTTCTTTGTGCACTGATCATGACTTTTTTTCTTTCCATTCTTTCCGGGACACATTTGATTAAGAACTGACTTGCCCTGTATTTTCTTAGGAATTGCTAGTATTCCCTGTTCTTCTTTCAGCTTCCTAGCTTCGCAAACCATGTATTCTGAAACTTTGAATTGCTCCATTGTCTTTTTGATAGACCAGCTTTGTGGCATGATGGTTAGGATTTATACTTTTTCTTGGCGCTTTGCTACATGGAATTTTAGCTTCATTTCTTCAATGAGTTTATTGAAGTCTTGGCAATTTGTACACTGTTGGCTAGAGCTTGGTACCAACAGGTTTTGGCAATCAATGTTTCCAATTGTAGCAATCTGTTTGGCAATTATTTCCTGTGGTTGGCTAATCTTATGCTTTGTATAACCATGCTTATCCCTTGCACTAACTCGTTGATATTTAATAGGTGAGATGCCTAATACTGATAAACTTGTGTTTACACTTTCACAGATTTCCATATTATCAGCAGGGCCATCATATTCAGTCGAGCTGGACTCACTTACCTGCTTATTGTCGAATTCCTTTCTGCATGATGTGCACAACTTTTGGCCAGGCTTAATACTGACTTTCAGCATACTGTATCTGACATTTTCTCTGCAGTAGCTACTGTGATTAGTCGCAAATCTTTTCGCTTTTCATGGCATTTTTTCTCGAAGGGATTGCAGCAAGTTTTTTGCAAAAATTCAAATTTTGTCAACAACAAAGCTTCATGATGAAGGTATACTTGAGATTCTCCATCCAAGTTCAGTTCACTTTGCTTTGCTATCAGTTTTTGATCTTTTGCACTATACTGTTTTATTCAAATTCAAATTTTTATTTAGGTAAAGTACATACATACATGGTGTGATACAAACATTGATGGATTTATAAATAGAGCTAGTACATACAATGCCTAAAGCCACTATGACGCAAAGCGTTTCGGGCAGGAAAAACACTAAAGACTAAAACTTAATACTAATTGAGATTAAAGTATAAATTGTGTTGAGAACATATAAAAATGAAAAAGGGGGAACATGGCAGAAAAATAGCAAAAATACAATTTTGTCGACAAACAGCATTGTTTAAAAATAGCAAACATGGGTTGACATTTTAGGGGTAAGGTAGGGGTAAGTTTAGAAACTTCAAGCCTTTGTTGGGATTGTAAGTTGTCAAGTGACATTCAGAGGAGCCACGCTCATGACTAGCAATAACACATGACAATAAACCAATGGAATCCTGATTCATGATGTATCTGTAATCGAATTCAAATCAAATTATTTAACTAACTGAATACAGTAATTTCAAGTGAGACCTGTAATACATTAATATTAATATTGCTTTTTATTTATTTGTGTATTTATTGCAAGTAAATACACAAATAAGTAAACAGCAATGTTTGACCTGTTGACACGATACTACAAACATGTAAAGATAAATATAGAACAGGAACCTAAAATAGCACTGATTGTTTAATAATAATTCTGAATCCTACCCAAAAATGTCCTACCCAATGAAGCTTAAAATTTGTCCAATCAGTTTGGATATCAATTTGCTAGCAGTCATGATCAGTGCACAAAGAAGATGGAGAATCATAATTTGATTTTTTCGATATCACACCAAGGTATGTAATTTTCAGAGTCCTCTGGCTGAACTAGGAATTCAGATCCCAACCTAAATAAAAGTTACTCTTGTACAGAAAAATCTGCTCTATCCAATGGTGTCATTCAAAATCAAATTGGGAATGATGCATATTGAGATATTTTGTCTTGAAAGTTGGCAGGTTTTGCACAAATTTTTTTTTTGGCCAACTTTCTGGACCACCTCTGGACACATAGATACAACAGAGTTGCTATTGCATCACTGCATAATATTGTGCTTGTTATACATCATTGCAAAAGATCATGGCATTTAGACCTTTTGCTGATGAGTAAGTGGTCTCCAAATTGGGGTCCAAATTTCTTACGACAAAATTTTGCAGTGATTTTAGCATGGATTGGTAGATGAATGGCTACCCAAACTACTGTTTTGATTACACTGCTGTATTCCGCATGAAAAGTTGTCCTGGTATGCCAAATTTCACACCTCTCTGGGCACTAGATGTGATTTGATAAAGGGTCAAAGTTGGCCCTTTTTATGATATATACGCATTAACGGGATGAAAGCCCACTGAACATGGACCTATTATTTAAGAACCAAAGCAGATTGAGCTCTAATATTTTGCACAATTTCATTTGGGGTCTAGGTCTACTTTATTACAAAATTTCATTAGATTTAGAAGGGGTCGAGTGGGAGGCCTTTGGGGAATTCACATGGAATGACCCTATAACAATAACACCACCTAGTTAGTGGAACTCAAAAAATGCAGTGATAAAGAGATGCAAGCACCTGTCTGACGCACAATGAAGAAAAGTAGTAGTAAGGAGAGTCCACAAAGTGGATATGCAGCTGGTGTCTTGTAGGATTGCTGATTACCACCTGGAGGGCAAAATTTCACATAAATAATAATAAGTATGTTATATTGTTGTATTTTATTATATACAGTATCATATAAATACAGTGTCCAATGCCAATATTTTGAATGTCCTCCAATTTTTTTTCTGTGAGGAGCCCCATCGGCTCCCTGGAACTATTGGACTAATATTAGTTATATTAGTCTGGGGCTTCAGTCATATGGAGTTGTCATGCCTTCTGGGAACCATTACCCAGAACATGGTTCCCTCAGAGAGGCGAAGGGAGCAATGGCCTATGAAAACTCCACTGTTTAGGAGTTCAGTATATTTATGTCTGTCATCGACCGGGCTTGGGCATCCAGAAAGGTAGGTGCCCCAAAACAGACCCCAACTGATAGAAAATTGCAACCTGAGACCGAAACAGAGGCTAAAAGCTCCCACCAAGAAAAACAAGGAAACAAGCAAACTGTCATCAGCCCGACATGCCCCCCCCTGGGCGGGGGAGGGGGGGAGGCCCTGTTCCACCCGAGCCGGCCCTCTGTCTTCAGTTTGTCGACTGAAGCCAACTGGTGTGGTCGTTTACTCTGGACTCGATTACCTGACAAGATTTTCACTTGTGCGGTGGTGCCTGCTGTGTGTTGGTGTGGTGACCAGGAGTTCCATTACCCAGCGCTGCATGCGCTTAGGGTTCTCTTCCCTCAGGGCCCTGTAAGTACATCCCTTAGGTTTCAGAGTTACCTTCCCTAGGACTTTCTGGTTCTCACTCCCATAGGGGTAGCGGTCGCTTGTCTTCTGCTTCGCCTTTGGGGTCAGCTCAGCTTAGGTTTGGTGCTTTCATTTGGCGAAACAGGACTGTGCGGATCTGCGGTTCATTCTGGACTTGTCTAGCCAGCCTGTGGTCTATCCTCATACCCATGACGTTAGGAAGTTTGCTGCATTGGCTGCCGTGTTTGGCAACATGTTTTGGGATGATATTCGGGCGTGGGGATTTTGGAGGTCAAACAGGGTCCTGGCTGCCCTATATTTGGTTAACGTTCCTGGGCCTGGGCGTTCTTATGGTGCTTTGGGTCACAGGTTGCAGCCAGTTGTCTCGACTTCTCGTTTAGGATGTGTGGTGGCTGCCTCCCGGGTAAGTCTCTCTTTTCCTTATCTTTGGTTATGTAGCTCCAGGAAGCCAAAGCGGCTCCCCACAGAAAACCAGTATTGAATGTAATGAAACGCCCTTTTTTGGGTAAGCCCCGGAAGCTCCCTGGCAACCCTCCCTCCTTCCGGTCGGCTAGTTTCACATGGTTGATACTTAGCCACTGAACTTGAGTGAGTGAGTTGACAGTGTGGGGAGTGCAGGGGATCCAGGGCTCACCCTCCCCCCCAAGGGGGGAGGGGGTGTTTCCTTGGAATTGGAGGGAGGTCTGCTTGTCTGTTCGATTTTCAGTTGCAATTTTCTTACCATATGGGGTCTGTTTTGTTAAGCCTACCTTTCTGCGTGCCTAACCCTGGTCTATGGTAGATAAAGAAAACCCCCAAACCACAGTGAGGTTTCAGGGCCATTGCTCCCTGCACCTCTCTGAGGGGGCCACGTTCTGGTTCGTGGTCCCCAGTAGGTTGAACTCTATAGACTAATGTCCCAGTCTAATGATTCGCATATTAGCCCGATAGCTCCAGGAAGCCTCCGGGGCTCACCCAAAAAATGCCGTTTCATTACATTCAAAGCTTTATTTTTTTATTTTAGGATGGAGTTGATGCTTAGTAAACTAAGATCCAGTGTAAGCAGCGCTGCCACAAGTGCTGTGTCTAATGCTGTTCAAATTGCTTCACAAGTGTCAAACTACCTACCTGGCAACCCAGTAACAAGGGAATTTGAAGCAACTGCGCACATAGCATCAGCTGGACCTGGTGAGTGTATTGAGGCACAGCAATTTAACGATCTTAATTTTACAAAACATAATTTTTTATCTCCTTGAATATTTCCATCACTTCGGACCCAAAATATCAAACTGATTAATTCATCTGACTAAAGAACTTTGTTCCATTGTTCTAAATTTTATTTTCATTTTTTGTGGTATAATCACTTGCTCAAAATTACACTTACAGTTAAGTGAACAAATCCACAGGGGCCGTGATGAGGATTCAAACCTATTGTACGTCCGAGAGGATCACCTCAGAGAGGATCCCAGCGCATCTGGGATCTTCTCGGACGTAAGTCCGAACCCTCATCACGACCCTTGTGGATTTGTTCATTTGATGCATCATGCTATTGTGATTTCTGTGTGTTACAGTTAAGTATTTTGTATTTGGCTGGCTGCTATCCACCTCTTTATGGGAAGGGATCCTTCAGTGGTTCCTCTAGCTTAAGTCTGGCATCATCAATGAGCAGAGTATAGATGGGGAGCAACTGGAAGCCCACCAGAAGAGAGCATTTCATTACATTCACCACAACACCTTCCAGTCTGGCATTTCTTGAAAGACAATGAATTAGCTAAACAAAACATGTGGACTAGGCTTGCCCCATGAGAAAAGAATGGTTGAAAAGAGAGGGACTGGGAAACTTTAGGAATGGTCTAGAAAAATGGTAACTAAAGGTTAACTCGGGTAAGTGTAAAGTAATGAAGTTGGGCAAAGGAAGCAGGAGGCTGAACACAAGATACCACCTGGGAGGTGATATCCTTCAAGAGTCAAGTAGAGAGAGAGAGAGATCTGGGGGGGTTGATATCATACCAAACCTGTCCTCAGAAGTCCACATCAAAAGGATATCAGCAGCTACGTATGCTAGATTGACCGACATAAGAACTGCCTTTGGAAACTTGTGTAAGGAATTATTCAGAACCTTGTATATCACATACAGAGGGTATACCACATCCAGACCAATCCTGGTGTATGTAGCTCCAGCCTGGAGTCCATATCTAGTTAACCACTTAACTGCGCCAACCGAGTATTCTCGGTCAGCGGGAAACTGCGCCAACTGAGAAAACTCTTTTTTGATTTTTCGGTACCAATTCTAAATGTGTACGAGGTTGGTTGTGTATGAAATGGACTCTTAGGACCTCCAGTGAGAAGCAGCCATCTTGGAAAAAAATCCCAGAATGCCCTAGGGCTGCTGGCTGGGTTAGTACAGAGTGAGCAACCATGGGTGGCGCACGCGCCTCTTGACTCCCAAACACCTGTCTGACGCAGTGTTGAAAGATCGCGCGCTGTCTGTGAAATTCAAACCTTATTGTTTGAAGAACATAAGGGTCATAATATTGGTAAAGGTAGGTGCAATAAGGACCTAACACAAAGGTCGGATGCACGTGATACAGCACCTATGAGGATGATACAGCGAGTGTATCCACTTGTATCTCTGAGCATCACCCTTGCCCACCCATGCTATCTCCAATTTATATCGATGATTCATAGATGAATCGTTTTCTGCGTTCAGTGATGATGCATCTGATACAAGTAGCATAGATGAACAGTGCAGGTATCAAGTGTTAGCAGCTTCCATGGTGGTGTTTTCCATAGATATTTTCAAGAATAGCTAAATCTCTTCCAGACTGACGGACACTCTTTGAGGCTAGCTGAATCTCTTTCTGACTGATGGACACTCTTTGAGGCTAGCTGAATCTCTTCCTGTGTGGGACCTTACAAAGTGATCTTTTCAAGACTACCTTACAAATTGATCTTTTCCTATAATCTTTTCAATACTACCTTATGCTTTACAAGCTTGGCTACATACCACCTATAAGTACTAAAGCCAAGGGTGTACGTGAGGGCATCATTTGCAAGCACACAGAACGAAGAAACATGAAGTGAAAATTGATCTGTACCTGGTGCAACGAGAGCCAAGTCGCGCTGTGCACCATGGACTACTTCATTGATTATTACTCACTTCCGAAGTACTGAGTAATTACCTAAGTGTAATTACCTAAGTGTAGTTACAGGATGAGAGCTACGCTCGTGGTGTCCCGTCTTCCCAGCACTCTTTGTCATATAACGCTTTGAAACTACTGACGGTCTTGGCCTCCACCACCTTCTCACTTAACTTGTTCCAACCGTCTACCACTCTATTTGCGAAGGTGAATTTTCTTATATTTCTTCGGCATCTGTGTTTAGCTAGTTTAAATCTATGACCTCTTGTTCTTGAAGTGCCAGGTCTCAGGAAATCTTCCCTGTCGATTTTATCAATTCCTGTTACTATTTTGTATGTAGTGATCATATCACCTCTTTTTCTTCTGTCTTCTAGTTTTGGCATGTTTAATGCTTCCAACCTCTCCTCGTAGCTCTTGCCCTTCAGTTCTGGGAGCCACTTCGTAGCATGTCTTTGCACCTTTTCCAGTTTGTTGATGTGCTTCTTAAGATATGGGCACCACACAACAACTGCATATTCTAGCTTTGGCCTAACAAAAGTCATGAACAATTTCTTTAGTATATCGCCATCCATGTATTTAAATGCAATTCTGAAGTTAGAAAGCATCGCATAGGCTCCTTGCACAATATTCTTTATGTGGTCCTCAGGTGATAGTTTTCTATCTAGAACCACCCCTAGATCTCTTTCTTTATCAGAATTCTTTAAAGATTTCTCACATAATATATAGGTTGTATGGGGTCTATGTTCTCCTATTCCACATTCCATAACATGACATTTATTAACATTAAATTCCATTTGCCAGGTGGTGCTCCATATACTTATTTTGTCCAGGTCTTCTTGAAGGGCATGACAATCATCTAAATTTCTTATCCTTCCTATTATCTTAGCATCATCAGCAAACATGTTCATATAATTCTGTATACCAACTGGTAGATCATTTATGTAGACAATAAACATCACTGGTGCAAGAACTGAACCCTGTGGTACTCCACTTGTGACATTTCTCCATTCCGATACATTGCCTCTGATTACTGCCCTCATTTTTCTATCAGTCAGAAACTTTTTCATCCATGATAGAAGCTTACCTGTCACCCCTCCAATATTTTCCAGTTTCCAGAACAACCTCTTATGTGGAACTCTGTCGAAAGCCTTTTTTAGGTCCAGATAGAGGCAGTCAACCCAACCATCTCTTTCCTGTAATATCTCTGTGGCTCGATCATAGAAACTGAGTAAATTCGATACACAGGATCTTCCAGATCGAAAACCATACTGCCTGTCTGATATTATATCATTTCTCTCCAGGTGTTTTACCCATTTAGTTTTGATTAGCTTTTCCAATACTTTCACTATTACACTTGTCAATGATACAGGTCTATAATTGAGGGGGTCTTCCCTGCTGCCACTTTTGTAGATTGGAACTATGTTAGCCTGTTTCCACACGTCTGCTACGATTCCTGTACACAGGGATGCCTGAAAGATCAGGTGAAGTGGAATGCTGAGCTCAGATGCACATTCTCTCAGAACCCATGGTGAAACGCCATCTGGGCCAGCTGCTTTGTTCTTCCCGAGCTCCTTTAGCTCGGAATACAGTGTGTAATACAGTGTGTTCCTGTGTAAATAGTGTGTGAAACTGTACATATTGTAATTTTAGTGAATTTTTAATAAGTAATATTGCGACAATAAGCATTTATTGTGGACACATTACTGACACATGTATCACAGTTCCATGGAACATTATTAACGTTCTACTGTACTGTATACATATTGTAAAGGACATAAATATGCATCATATACGATAAAAAAACAAATCAAACCGCATTGGTAGTACATAGAACAAATAATTGAAAATATATTTGTGGCAACACCCGGTGCTTGAATGGCCCACAGGACCGTGTCTGGGCGTGTCACGCACAGGTGACCAGGCCCTGATGACGTTACAGCGCACCTTGTCCACGTCCCCACATCCAAAGTTAGTGGAATTTTGTATTTATTTTTACATAGACATGTTCAGGGAAGGGAATTTATCATTTTACGAAGAAAAAAGAATTTTGGGGAACACTTTATTTCATGCACACGGGGAATTTCACAATAAACTCGGTGCAGCACGGTGGTTAAACACAAGACAGAAGATTCAGAGGTATGCCACCAGACTAGTCCCAGAGCTGAGAGGTATAAGTTATGAGGAAAGGCTACAGGAATTAAACCTCATGTCCCTGAAAGAGAGAAGAGTTAGGGGGAGACATGATCACCATCTACAAAATTCTGTTCACCAGTTGATTGACAGTTGAGAGGTGGGACCAAAGAGTCACATCTCAACCCTGCAAGCATAGCTAGGTGAATACTGAAAGGCTGCAGTGAGGCTAGGATAGGTGGGTGTCAGTAACCAGTCCAGACTGATGTACACTGTGATGTAACTATATTCAATAATTGTACATATAACACCCTTATATGTTGTTAGTATATATATATGTGTGTGTTGTACAGTAATCTTCTATAGTATTATACACTTGCATGTATATGTGTGTATTGTATTTATATTTCATATTTTACTGTGTTGTTTCGAGTGGTTGAAGTGCTTGTTTGACTGACGTGTGAGCTGGCCAGTCTTTGTTGTGTGCGCGTTTGTGTGTTAGCGTGAAGGTAGCCAACCCTTGCAGGTGTGACTGCCAGTGTTCATTGTATATGTCTATGTATATTATTATTATTATTATTATTTGAGCAGAACATCTGCATATGTTCAAGAGTTTAACATTCTGTAACCAGGTATGTTTTAAGCATACTTTTCATTACCTGAAGGGACAGGTTGCTGTCTGTTCAGTTGGTATTGTTTAGTTGACCTGTGGGGGTGGACTAGCTGCCTGGCTTAACACTTTCGCCCAGTAACGACGCAGCATTGCGTCGTTTTTTTAGTTAAAGCATTCCCGGTTACGACGCAGCATTGTGTCGTTTTCGGCGGCAAATTGGCGGCAGCTTCGGGAGGGGCGCACAGTGGTTTTGGATATTATATGCATATACTCTTGTAGGGAATTTCATTGCGAATACATTGATA